CTAAGCACAGAGCTGCGCTGATGAGGCTTGCCAAGGAAATTATGTCCCATAGATGAGGATTTATCCGTTAAAATAAAACATTCTTATTCTTCCCTTCCTGAATCTTGAGCTTTCACAAGAATGTGGTGACTTGGATGTAATAAGGCAGCAAATTCCGCGTCTGTAATTGACCTGGTTCTGAGACTTACAGTGCTGTTTTACTTTTCATTCTGCCATCCCACAATGAAGAACAGTTTCACCAAGACTCACATTTTAAATGGGTTTTTATTAGTGCTGGTGGAAATAATTGTTTGAAACAGGTTATTTTCCTAAGTTAATGTAGACAGAGAGAACACAGCAGAGCTTGGGTTTTGTTATGTCAGTTCTTTGTTGAACTGGATTGTTGTCATTTCAGATGAGAGTTATTGTAATACAGGGAGAGATGATTTAATATCAGGTCTTTTCAGTCTCAGTTTGCTCAGAAACTACCCTTCATGTGAATGAATGGGCTGTATTCCCCGGTGGTTGTTTGCTTGACTAACCTTGGTTTGGTGGTTTTCAGATGACAACGTCAACTGGTATTCCAGCAGTGAGGAGGAGGAGGGGAGCAGCGTTAAATCAATCCTAAAAACCCTAAAGAAACAAAGTGAAAACTTCCGGAATCGGCAGCAACATTCCGCAGAGCAGCACATGCTTGGAATTCCCACTGACCCCCGCCTGGCGAAGGAGAAGGGAGCAGGGCCCCAGGCTGCTGACCCCAGGCTGAGGGCTTCTCCCAGGTCCAACCCGCGGAAGCCTTCGGAGTCCGGCTCCCTGGACCCGCGGCTCGTGCGGGATCCCCGGGTGCACAAGGTCAGTGAAGGTGCTCACGGCAGCTCGGCCCTTGGGGGAGCAAAGCTTGAGCTGCACCACACTGGGGGCAAGGCCAAGCAGAAGGGGATGGATGATGATGAAGAGGACTCTGAGAGAGAGCTGCGGGAGCGAGCTTTCCTCATCCCCTTGGAGCCTTTGCCTGGCGTGACGCTGAGGGACCCGCGATCCCAGCTCCGGCAGTTCAGCCACATTAAGATGGATGTTACCCTCATGAAGCCAAACTTTGCTAAGCATATTGTATGGGCACCTGAGGACTTGCTCCCCATACCTCTGCCTAAGCCTGACCCCGTCTCTTCAATCAATTTACCTCTCCCTCCCCTCATTGCTGACCAGAGACTGAACAAGCTGCGAGGCTTGAAGAGCGATGCCCATGCGAGCGCTGCGCCGGCAGACCCGCGCCTGGCTGCCAAGGCAAAGAACAGCCTAGCAGCCCGGGGCAGCTACTTGGATCCTGCTGCAGATTCCCATGCCAGCAGCTCCAGCAAGCTGGGAGATCCCCGCTTACAAAAGAACGTCGATCCCAGGCTCCACAGACTGTCGAGTGCAGACACGCATCATGGGGTCGCAAAGGACCCCTCGCACCCCGCCAAGTTTGACCCCCGCCTCGCCAGGTCTGCTGCTGGCTCCTCACAGCCCCCCGAGGCTGCCACTGCTAAACCTGAGCCGGATGCTCTGCCTCCCTACGCTCCCAAACTGGCATCCAGTGGGGGGAGGCTGGGAGCTCCGGGCTCCATCCTGGGCGGTATCAGCCTGTATGACCCACGAGATCACAGCTCCACGCTGGACGCGGCTCCAGCAGCTTCGGGAGAGAATGGAGAGAGCCAGAAAAAGAGCATTTTGAAAAATTCCGGGAAAAACGAGCCCGGTGCCCCGGAAGATTCATCTCTGCAGAAGGAGAAAGCCCCGGAAGGACCCAGCTCCACGGAAGCTGCTCCGGATAAAGCAAGCAGCAGCAGCAGCAGCAGCAGCAAACCTCAGGCGAAACACTCCAGCGCTGCCCCGGCGGTGCACAACCTGCCCATCCAGGCCTTGTCGGGGCTCATCAGACCCCAGTACAGCGACCCCCGGCAGGTCAGGCAGCCTGGGCAGGGAACTCAGCCCCCGGAGCCCGATCCCGATGGGGAATCAGATGACAAGTCCTTAAAAGATGTTTTCAAGACTTTTGACCCCACTGCTTCCCCCTTTTGTTAGCGATCGAGTCTTTTTACCGTTGTGAATATTGCAGGTTTCTGCTGTTTTGTAACTGGTTTACCTCTTTGCTTTATTTATTTGTAAATTATAATTCTCAACACTTTTCAGCTGCTAATCTCAGAACCACATGCAGTCCTCCAGTCCGCTCTAGTGTTTGCAAAGCTGTGGTATTTTCTATAGAAATACTTTTCCAAGTTCAGGGAAGACTAATAATTGACATGTAGAAACCCCCTTCCCCTCCCATGTATCGTGTTAGAGCTGATTCAAGCACTTTCATTGTAAATAAGCCATGAAGAAGCCCCCCTCCGGAGCTGTATATGTGTGAGCTGTCTCTTTCATAAAGGCCATGTAGATCTGATTGCCACATTTGTATGATTGTATAGACACGAGCAATATTATGTACATTTACTGTGAGAGGCAAGGAGTGCTTTGACCAGGATTGCTGGACACATCAAGCCAAACCCAACGAGTGATTCCAGACCCCACGGAAACGCTTTCAAGAGGAAAAACTTTGCTCCTCCTTTTCAGATCAGTACACGTGAGACATTGTTTTTATTCACCCACTCGATATCCTTAGTGTAAAAGAGACCTATATCGCATATTGAGGATGAAAAATGTCATATCTTTTAAAAGTATTTTATTCTATGCTGTATATAGAAGAAATTGTGAAGTACAGAGCTAGAAGGAAGGTCCTGTTCCAAGTGGAGAATACTTCAGTTGTCTAATACAGAAAAGGGTTTTATTTAAGTTTTTTCCACTCCTCCACCCCTCTGATTAGTGCTCTGAGTTACCTTGTGGTGTTCATGTATTTCAATGTATTTTTGTATTCAGCTGCTTAATTTGTATTGCTTTTTTTGTATGGATGTAACTGCAGTACTTGTATTCATGGTGTCTTTATGACATTTTTAACAAAACCATTAAAAAGGGTACAGATAAAGGCTGGTGGTGGCTGTGCTCTTGGCAGGGGAGGAGCAGTGCAGTGGCTCAGAGTGCAGTCACAGGCCGTGGGGTTTAAACACACCTTGTACCAATGCACATGGTACAGTGACTTGACACCTTGTACCAATGCACATGGTATGAACCCACTGCTCTGCTCGCAGCCACTGGCTTGGAGGTGAGTTGTTGCCATTCTCCTCCTCCGATACAGCATCCTTGTGAGGAGTGTGATGCGTGTCCTTCCAGTTCTGAAGCTGTTGCATGCGGAGAGCACAACTGACCTCAAAGCCCCTCTTGGTCTGGCCTTTTTGGGCTGCTTTTGCTGTGGAGGAAGGAAGCGTTGTCCCCTGTCACTGGCTTCCTTTGCAATAAAGATGTGCCCTCAGTCGCCGCCTGCTTCCCCAGCACTTGGAATGTTTCTGTGCATTCCGGCTCTCCCTCAGTGGACCTTTGCCTCTGTGTCTGTTGGCAAAGGTCACACCTGCAGCTGGGACAGCACAATCTTTGTCACAGATTCCAAGGTTTTGGGTTCCAGAGAGGCAGGAATAGAAATGTCTCGTTTGGATGTGCAAAACATGGCAGAGGAGGCATTGCTAAGGGCAATAATGGTTTCACTTTGCCTTCATCACGTCCCAGTGATAAATAGCATTAATATGATGATATTTTGAATTGTGTTAACTCAAAATGATTGAAAACGAGATGACAGGAGTGAAACTTGGTTCTTAGTTTGGAGTGGTTTATCAGTCCTGCCTAACTACTTATTACTGCGTCATCTTGTGACAAGTTTGGCTGTTCAAGAGTTTCATCAAAAACCCAAGCCAGCAGAATTGGACTGCAGGGAAAAATAGCTTGGAAGTAGCACATGGATTGATAGGGAAATAAAGGGAAGAAGTGATGGTGTTGAAGCCAAGAGGTGGTTTCACGGAATCCTTGTAGGATGTGCAGCTCTAACCTGGAGTTACAACTTCCCTGTGTTGATGCCATTGTTAAATAGGATTCTTTGTGGGGATTTTGATGGAAGTACTAGAAAAATAGCCAAAGGCAAAGCTTTGGTACTGAGAGCAACATGGCAAGTCTTAAAGTTGAGGTAACTGCAGGATATTGGGTGCTTTGCCATCGGTCTGGTTATGGACCCATTTGGGAGTCGCAGGGTGGGTTCTGGTAGGGGACACAGGATGCTGGCTGCTGCTACCCCAGGGATCTGTTGCTATCTCTTTATCTTCAGTCCAATACCATTCATTCTGGAACAGAAGGGGCACAGGTAAGTTGAAAGGGGGCAGCTGGTGCTTGCAGCCTGTTGTCTCCATGTGTAACTGCCTCCTTCCTTCCTCCTGCCAGATCCAGCCTCCATCGGATTTCCCAGCTACAGCACCAGGGGCTGCAGGATACTGCTGGGCTCCTCCATCCACCTCTGCTTGTTGGTTTATTCCTTACAGATTCCCTGGTGTGCTGCTGCTGCTGCTCTCCTGAAACACAGAGAAGATCCATCCCTACAGTGCAAGTGTGAAGCTATCTGATACAGGGAAGGTGCTGGAGCTGTCAGTGGGGACTGTCCTGCTACAGCCACCAAGCAAGTCACGTCTGGTCTGCTGTGTGGATTCATTGTGTGTTATCTCTTCCCCCAGTGCAGCGTGCTGGCATGGAGCAGCATTCCCCTTGGATGCTTGAAACTCACACCCTGAGCTGTGGAAGCATGGAAGTGGAGAGCAGGAATGGGAGCGGCTGGTGCTGTTGGTCCTGGGTACTCCAGAAGCCCATAGCTGTGAGGTGAGTGATACACTGAGTGTTTTATTCAGGGCTGAGAGGGATTTGGGGAGGAAAGTCTCAGTTCTTCGCAGGAAGATGCTCCCCACTCCGAGCCCTGGAGATGGGAAGGAGTCAGATGTTGGTGTCTGGTCTTGGCTCATCCTGCACTGCAGGAAGACTGAGCATTGCTCAGTCACTGCCTGGGGTTTGCAGCCCCAGGATAAAAATCCTGGTTTGTATTTCCCTACTGTGATGAAAAGACTCAACACAAATCCTTCGTAGTGCAAATGAAATCCATTTATTCTTGCAAAGACAGAACAATTGCACTCCTGGTTTGTGTTTCAGATCTCGGTGATGCCTGAATTAACTCCCTTAGGCTTCCTTCTCATTCAGTGCATCTTTCCTCCAGCTTCTGTAGTGCATGTTACCCTCCTGACTTCATGTTTAGTGTATGAGCCTGCTGCAGGGCTCTACCTCTCTGGCTGCCCTTCCTGTGCAGTATTTAGGATTGTTACCCTGAGAAGTAAAGGGATGGTTGCAAAACAGGTTGATAAAGTGCTAAAGATCGGGGCCTGAGAAGGACCTTCCAGCTCGGTGGCTTCCTTGAGTGGGAGATGAGCAGTTGGGTTGTTCACAGAACCCCTGATCCTTCATGGGATCCCAGCCTGGTTTGGGTTGAAGGGACCTTAAAGCTCATCCAGTCCCAACCCCTGCCACGGGCAGGGACACCTTCCACTGGAGCAGCTTGCTCCAAGCCCCTGTGTCCAACCTGGCCTTGAACACTGCCAGGGATGGGGCAGCCACAGCTTCTCTGGGCACCCTGTGCCAGCGCCTCAGCACCCTCACAGGGAAGAGCTTCTGCCTAAGAGCTCAGCTCAGTCTCCCCTCGGGCAGGTTCAAGCCATTCCCCTTGGCCTGTCCCTGCTTATTCCCCCCAGCCAGATCTGCTGGTGCCGCTACCAGTGTGTTCCTACCTCCTTCTGTTCACATCTTGGGCACTGAAGAACAGGGAACTGGCAGCTACTGAAAGTGGTAACAGTGAAGGTACCTCATCACAGGCTGCCTGCCCTGTGTTGTGGCATCATTCTCTGTTCACTCACCAAAAGGAAGCACAAGCCCCTTCCTCTTTCCACAGGTGGCCACCCTAATTGTACATCCTTTAACAGCTTTTGGGTGCTCAGGGGTGTCCTTGGTGTGCAGTGCTTGGTCTTGCACCATCCCCACCAGGGAGGGCTCGGCTCTGGCCTGAGTCCTGCGCAGCCCCAGTTCATCCCTGTCTGAGGTGAAGGACTCTTTGGCTCTGTGCAGGAACAGGTTTCTTCTCCACTGCATGCAAAACGCAGCTGCTGCTGCTTCCTCAGAGTCCGGCGGGGGCTGGCGCAGACCCTGTCAGACACAATATATGCATGCTTTAATGTATTGCATATGAACTCATTTAAAATACCCTAAATGATGTGCAAGTCTGTGTGTATCAGTGTGTGCAGGACCACTGTGGCTTCTCTACCTGTTAATGCCTTAGAAATGCTTAAAAGTGCTTAAAAACCTGCTTATAGAATGAGAAAAGGAATGCAGTAGAGTCAGTTTAGGGATGTTCCCAAAGGGAAAAAGCCAGGTTGTAAAGGGATTTGTAATCTGGACAGTCAAAACAAGAGCGTGGCTTGTTCCTTCAGGATCACATCAGTGAGAAATGGCCATATATAATGCTCTTAACAGTAATTAAGCACAGGAGGAGCTTTGTCACCTGGCTGATGTTCATCCAATGGGCTCTAACAACACGTCTCTTGCAGAAAGACTCAAAAAGCTCAGGAGAAGCAGGAATACCCAGGAAACTGGGCACAGAATGGAAAACTGCCTCAGAGAAGGCTCTGGTTGTACTTGGGCTTGGTCCTGAGTGCTTTCAGGTAGAGCTGCTCTCACAAACTGTACAGTCAGATCAGTTAGCCACCCAAGGGAAGCTCTTGGGCATGTTGATCGAAGCCCATCTTGAGACAACGTAAAGGCTAAGACCAACATGGACCATTTCCAAATACAGGCTTCCAGTGAGATGCTGCTGCTCCCCTGCCCAAAAATGAAGAGGCAGATGAGCTAACAGGACTTCAGAGTTGGTAGCAGTGACAGAGCCTATTGATGCTTGGAAAGAAGCGTGGTGGGCTTTGGAAACCAGGCAGAGGCAGGACATAGGATCACAGGAGCAAGCAGAGGTCCTACAGCAGGCAGCTCCCACCTTCCATCACCAGGCTTGGCTGTAAGAGCTCCCCCCAGCACGGACTCACCTTGCAAAGCCCATCTGGTGCCATCAGCATGAACTTACTTTGATACACGCTGCCTCAGCTGCCTTCAGGATGTGCAAAACTGCCTGGACCAGGTTCTGTGTGTTGCTCACGAGCAGCTCAGAAGAGGATTTGCTCTCTGCAGTGACTGCTTTCACCCTTCAGAGACATTTTAAAGCGTGGAAGAACATTGGTGTGTTCCCCCTGTGTGGTCCATTACTCCTGGTCCAAAGCCAGATCATTCCCTGCACTGTCAGAGCAGGTTTCCAGGGAAAATGGGGGAGGAAAGGGCTGTCTACAGGAACAGGAAGGGGAGCTCTAATGCTAGACCCAGGTTCCCCAGGGACCTCTGGAGCCCAGCAGTTTTGGAGAGGTGCCTCACCTGGCCACGATGCCGAGCTGGCTGCTGATGGTGAGGGCCTGCTCGGTGGCACGCAGCAGCTCCATGGAGCACCTTCTGTCCAGACAGAGCTTGGCCACGGCACGGCCAAAGGTGACAAACTCCTGCCCATCCAGAGCCATCTGCCTCGCGCAGGCAACGAGCTGGTCCTTGCTCTGAAACAGGAGAGAAGTAAGGGGAAGGCGGGGAAAGAAGGAGAAAAAAGGCTCTTCTCCTGCAAGACAGGGAGAGGCCACAGCATCATGGAATGGTTTGGAAGGGACCTTAAAGCTCCTCCAGCTCCAACCCCTGCCACGGGCAGGGACCCCTTCCACTAGAGCAGCTTGCTCCAAGCCCCTGTGTCCAACCTGGCCTTGAACACTGCCAGGGATGGGGCAGCCACAGCTTCTCTGGGCACCCTGTGCCAGCGCCTCAGCACCCTCACAGGGAAGAGCTTCTGCCTAAGAGCTCAGCTCAGTCTCCCCTCGGGCAGGTTCAAGCCATTCCCCTTGGCCTGTCCCTCCATCCCTTGTCCCAGGCCCCTCTCCAGGTTTCCTGCAGCCCCTTCAGGCACTGGAGCTGCTCTCAGGTCTCCCCTTCAGGAGCCTTCTCTTCTCCAGGCTGCCCCAGCCCAGCTCTCTCAGCCTGGCTCCAGAGCAGAAGCCCAGTTACGGTCTCAAACAGGGAAAGGACTGGATGCCAAGCTCACATCTAATCGGGGGAAGTAATTTCTTGTGCTTTGCCTAAATAGAGCTGGTGCCACCCTCACAGGAGTGGAGTAATGGGGAGATGGGGGTTCAGCAGGTGCTGGGCAGCCCCATCACTGGCCCTAATCCTGCTCCTGGGGGAAGAATGGTGCTGGGGTGGAAGAGGGAAAATGCTCCTTACTGTGATGGGGCCCTTCCTCCTGAGGAACTGAGTCATGTGGAGCATTCTTGCTGCCGTGTCCTTGGTGACCTGGGACATCTTGCTGGGGCCACCCTGCCCCATGTCACTGCTTTGTCTCTCGTGCTTCAAAGGGCTGCTGGCAGGGGAGGTGCTGGCAGGACCCTTGTGGTGCTGTCAAGACAATACCTGAATGGGTTGCGTGCCTGAGGTGTGCAGCTGCTGAGAAGTCTCTGCCTGTGTGTTTCTGAAGAAGGTTTTGGTGAGGGATGGAGATGGGAGAGCTGCCACCACCTCACTGGGTCTGCTCTGCCTTCCCAACCAGCCCTTCTCCTGCAGTGGAGCTCTCAATTCCATGTGCCCTGTGCCACCATCTCCTGGAGCCATCATCTCCCTGTGCCACCATCTCCTGGAGCTATGATCTCCCTGTGCCACCATCTCCTGGAGCCATCATCTCCCTGTGCCACCATCTCCTGGAGCTGTGATCTCTCTGTGCCACCATCTCCTGGAGCTATCATCTCCCTGTGCCACCACCTCCTGGAGCTATCATCTCCCTGTGCCACCACCTCCTGGAGCTATAATCTCCCTGTGCCACCATCTCCTCGAGCTATCATCTACCTGTGCCACCATCTCCTCGAGCTATCATCTCCTGGAGCTATCTCCAGATGTGTGGTTGAGAAGTGCTCTACACCCCTGCTGAGTGAGCTGGGTTGGGCACTGAGGCCTTTGCCAGCTCCTGACAGCCAGCAGTGGCTGATGTGGGACTGGAGTTGCTGGTACCCCACAGGGGAGGGGAGCAGGCAGGGACTGTGTAACAGAGCCCTTGCTTTTCAGAACAGCCCTTTGGAGATGGGTTATTTATGCAGCAGTGCCATCAGATCAGATATCCAGCACTGAGGCAGGCAGGAACCTGATCTGACTCTGCAGGTGACCACGGGGCCACACCACTGACCTCCAGAGGTCCCTGGCAGCATCACTTATCTTAGCACTCCATGGTGCGAGTATCAGGACTGGCTGCCAGCCCTGACCATCACCCTGCAGCCAGAGCTGGCGAGGAAAAAGCTACTGTACCATTGCAGGTGCCTCCCTGGCAGCTCCACTTGCTCCTCCACTCCTGCTTGGGCAAGTCTCTGCTGACCTGGCGTGGCTCTGAGCATCCAGGGCCGGGAAGAGCTTGGCTGTGCTTCTGAGTTGCCTTGGGAAGCTCTGGTCTCCTGTGTTCTGCAGGCGGTGTCTGATGAGCTCCAGAACATCCCCACCGATGCCCTGGACAGCCTGAAGCTGCCTGACGAGGTAGTGTGCCTTTGCAGACCAGCACCAGACAGTGCTCTCCAGGTGGAGATGCTCCTCATCCCGGTGGCTCTGGAAGAGCTGCCTGGCGCTGCCCACTGCGTTGGACGTGAGGACCAGGAGGTGCTCTGCGATGGAGAGCAGGTTTGCCTCCAACTCCAGTTGAACGTTGGCCCCCAGGACGTGGTGGAGGGTGCTTCTGACCCACTGGATGTTTGCCATGAGCCTGTTTGCCTTCTCTTCAAAGGCCTCTTTGCTCCTTGCCCTCTCCTCCTGGGACAGGGGCATCAGGGCAGGTCCAACAACGTCCCTGATCACCTGCAAGTGGTCGGCGTTGACCTTCTCCAGGTGGAGCAGCAGCGCCTTGGCCCTGAGGGCCAGATCCCTGTGCAGGAGCTCACAGCGAACGCCCAGGCTGGCATTAGGCAGTGGGGAGAGCAGGAGGGTGCTGGAGGCCTCCAGCAGTGCTTCCATCAGCACCTGGATCTCCTCCCTGAGCACTCGGATCTCACTGTGCCCATGGGAGTCAGGGCAGGATGAGGAGAGCAGGGCGGCCTCCTGCAGCCTCAGGGAGCGCTCGGACACCGCAGCCAGGAGGCTCTGAGGGCAGAGCTTGTTCCTCACGGCGCTCCTCAGCTCCCCCAGGAGCAGCACATCCCTGCCTACGAACTGATCCACAGCACCCAGCAGGATGCGTGTGCTCACAGCCCACTGCACACAGAGCAGCTCCAGCCTGGCCCTGCCCACCACACAGGAGCTCTCAAAGGATGCTGCCTTCTCGAGCAACGCTTCGGTGCTCATCTGAGCACGTGAAAACGTGGCTTGGACCCGCAGGAAACTCTCCCAGCCATCAGGGGAAAGGAGGCTTCCCTCCCTGCAGGCGACGCGTGCTGCGAACTGAACCGCTCCCGCTAAGCCCGTCATGGTCTCATCCAAAGCCTGTTTGCCTCTCAGGGAGTCAGCAGCCAAGATGAAGGCAAAGACTTGCTGTGACAGACTGTACCAGGGGCCTGCCACGGCGGCCAGGCCCGCCTTGGCCTCACAGAGCCTTGCCGAGAGCGTGAGTGCCGCATGGAGAAGTTCAGCGGGGCAAGGGCGCTGCTCTGGGGCTGCTTCCCTGGCCAGGCTGATCACACGTGGGGTCAGGAGCTCGATCTCCTGGTACTGCCCCAGGGTCTCCCTGTGGGGACACTCGGCAAGGGGCAGCGCTGCCTTCGCTGCGTGCACACAGCCGCTGGAGAGCTCGAGCAAGGCAGAGCAAGCAGCACTGAGCAAGGCCGTGTCGTGGGCTCCTGTTGCTGCCAGGAGGGCTGCGATCACGGGGTGTGCGGCTCCTCGCCTTGGGTGTGAGTTACCTGCTGGTGAAGATGGAGGAGTTAAGAAGTCTTCCTGCAGCACAGCCTCATCCATACTGGTTTTTAGCCCGGCATGAGATGGGCTGAGCTCGACCCCCTGTGCAACAGCAGCGCCTCGCACTTGTTCCCGCAGGGGGCTGAGGATGTCCGGGTGGTTGGACCCATCCAGGCCGTCCTGGACACGCCGAGCAGCATCCATCAGGGAGCTCGCTGCCTTGGAAAAGACATCCCTGGTGTGGAGGCAGGAGGCTCTCTCTGCACAAAGGGCTGCGGCCGCTTTCAGCTCGGGGATGGAGCTGGCCAGCTGCTCGACCCAAACCAGCAAACCATTCCTGAAGATGGGATCTGTGGCTCTGTCCACGGACCTGGTGGTGGCTTCCACCACCCACCGAGCCCAGCTGCAGAGGTGGGTTGTGTGCCAGGAGAAACCCTCGGCGTCCTGGCTCCCCAGGGCCCGTTCGCAGCATTCCCGGTCCTTGGCCATCTCCCGGATGGACAGCTTGAGGAGCTCACGTGTGCTGGCTGTGTCCTCGAAGCACCACAGGAGGCTCTGCGTTGTTCCAGCCCAGGCGAGGTACAGGGACTGCAGCTGCTCAGCAGCACTCCTCTGGGCTCCAGGGCTGCCCATTGCGGTGAGCAGGGCAGGGACGTGGGCCAGGAGCCTCCTCAGGCGCTGCACCAGCTCCTGGGTCTCTGCAGCAGTGCGGGGCTTGGTGCACAGAGCCAGGATGAAGTCTGCTGCTCTGAGCATCCCCTGGGCGTGCGTGAAGAAGGCAGCAGTGAGGGGCTGAAGCTGCTTTAGAAACCCTCCTTGTCCTGCAGGAAAACACCCGGGGCCAGCGAGGCTGAGGGCACCTTCAACCAACAGCCTGAGGGGCTCCTGACCCTCGGGGAAGGTGTCGAGGACTTGGCACAGCGTGGCTGAGAGCACTGCCTGCTCCAGGCTCTCCACCTCCTCCCTCATGCTGTGACATTGCCCCTCCAGCCCTGGCCCCCTCTCCTGCTGCCCCGCCAGGCTGCAGATGCTCTTTCTCAGCCGCAGCAGAGCCCAGCAACGTCTGACCAGGTCCAGCCTCTGCTCTGGCCTGGATGCCTCTGCCAGGAGCATGCAGTGGAGAACAACTGCTCCTAGGTGAGCACTGAAGGTGCTGTCAGAGAGGAGCAGGGGGTCCGGGGGGGACAGGAGAGCCAGCAGCCTGCGCACGTGCCGGGAGAAGGTCCCGCTTGTGTCCCGTGGCTCCTTGCTGCCTGTATCATCGCTGAGCAGGGATGTGAGCTCCTTGATGGTCCTCTCCACCAGCCGGAAGGCGTTGTCCTTGGAGGGGCTGACTGGCTGATCCCGGGGGTGTCTGAGATCCCTGTCCTTGGCTGCGTGGAGCAGCGGGAGCCGCTGCTGCAGGAGCTGCAGGGCTCGAGCCAAGCCCTGCCGTCGAGGACAGTCTCCCAGTTCCTCGAGGCGCTGCGCTGCCAGGCTGCTCAGCAGGAGCAGGGCCTCGGAGAAGGCCTGGAAAGCAGCCAGCGCTCCTGGCCTGTCCCCTGCGCCCTGCAGCACGCTCAGGCGCTCCAGAAGGCAGCTGGCAGCCTGCAGGATCCTCCGCTGCCCAGCAGCATGTCCCAGCCGAAGGATCTAACCAGGAAGGGAACAGCAGGAAAACTGCTCAGAGAGGAAAAGGCTCAGGAGCCCCTGTTCAGTGGTTGATCCCTTGTGCAGCCGAGGTGGCACCACAGACCCCCGGGGAAGGGAAGGGCTGTGTTTTGCTCAGTGAGTATCCCCCAGTGAGGAAGCCACCATTGCTCCATCTACAGCTTCCCCAAGCCCCAGCGCTGTGCTGCTGGAGGACAGCTCCTGTCGTAGAACCCCAGCCTGGTTTGTGTTGAAGGGACCTTAAAGCTCCTCCAGCCCCAACCCCTGCCACGGGCAGGGACCCTTTCCACTAGAGCAGCTTGCTCCAAGCCCCTGTGTCCAACCTGCCCTTGAACACTGCCAGGGATGGGGCAGCCACAGCTTCTCTGGGCACCCTGTGCCAGCGCCTCAGCACCTTCACAGGGAAGAGCTTCTGCCTAAGAGCTCAGCTCAGTCTCCCCTCGGGCAGGTTCAAGCCATTCCCCTTGGCCTGTCCCTACATCCCTTGTCCCAAGCCCCTCTCCAGCTTTCCTGCAGCCCCTTCAGGCACTGGAGCTGCTCTCAGGTCTCCCCTTCAGGAGCCTTCTCTTCTCCAGGCTGCCCCAGCCCAGCTCTCTCAGCTTGGCTCCAGAGCAGAGCTGCTCCAGCCCTCGCAGCAGCTCCATGTCCCTCTTGTGCTGTGTTCCCTTCTATCCCCACCCTCACCCCCGCCTCACTCCAGCCCCATCCCCTCACTGTTACCTTCGCTGTCTCCATTAGGACCCCCTGTGCAGCCACTGCCAGCTCCTCCCTTGGGCCGGGGCTGTGGGGCTGCCCCTGGAGCTTGCAGGCTGCCAGCAGCACCCTCCTCCCTGCCAGCACCAGGGCCTCGGCCGCAGGATGCGTCTCCTCCTCCAGCAGCTCATCTCCGGACTCCTCAGCCAGCCTGGAGCAGAATCCACCGTGCTCAGCCCTTTGCCATCCCGTGAGTACCTCACCACGTCCGTCCCCCCCCGAGCACACATCCATGCTCTGTCCCAGCTCCCCTTTTCCATTCCCAATGGAATTCCCCCCTCATGTTCCCCACCTCTCCAGTGGGATGCAGGCAGGAGGGGCAGGCTTTCTTCCCACTCCTTTGCCATCCCTTCCTGCCCCTTCCCAGCCCCAAATCTGCCCAGGAAGCGTGCCCCAAACCCACCTCCTTGCAACAGCAGCGAGTTCCTCTGTGGCTTTGGCCAACGTTTCTGCATCCTGCCCTATGTCAGGACAAATCCCGTCTTCCCATTCCAGGGCGAGGATGAGGTGGCAGAGCTGCGCAGCCATGGGGCAGAGGATCCTTTGAATGGCTTTGTTTTCCGTCAGGAGCCCGAGGTCAGGGAGATGAAATGGCTCCATTTGTCCTGCCTGGGGAAGGGAAACAGAGCCTGGAGTTATTTGGGATGAGTTTGCATTTGAATGGCGGCTTCTGGCACTGGAAGCGCTGGGTTTAGTTTCTCCCAGCCCCTTTTCCCCCAGCAGTGTCCTCTGGCTGTGCCCATGGCGCACCCATGGCTCCGAGAGCTGGGAGGCCCCGTTTCCCCCCGCGGCTCCATGTGGACACCCTTAACGGAGCCCAGCCGCAGCGGGGCCGGTGTTCACCTGCCTGGGCACGGTCCGACCTGCGGGGGTTGTGCTGGGGCCGGGGTCCTGGGGTCCTTCCTGCAGCGAGACCCGGTCCCGGTGCCGTTCCCTCCTCCCCGCCCGCGGGGCTCCCGGGCTGCGCGATGCAGGCGGCGGCGGGGGATGCGTTACAGCTCGGTTACCGCGAGGCGGGGCGGGGAGCGCTCGCTGCCGGCCGCCGTCCCGGGGCTCCCGGGCTCCCTCCGGAGCTGGGGACGTACCGGGAGCGCCCCGGGCGGGCCGCGGCGGCGCAGGCCCCGCGTCTCCATGGAGACCGGCGTGGTCGCGGGGAGATGACGCCATGGCGCGGCGCAGGGCACGCCGGGAGTTGTAGTCCGGCGGCGTTGGCGCCGGGCCTAGCCGCGGCCTTCGCTTCCCTCAGGGATGGAGCCGGGTCCCGCGGCCCCACCGGCCCCGTGTGTACGTGCCCAGCCCCGGCGCTTCGGCCCCTTCATCCTCCCGCGGTGGGAGCAGGGCCCGGGGGCTGGGGTGTGTGTGTTTGTGTGTTTGTGTGTGTGTGTGGGCACCGCTGTTGCCCCATGCCTGAGGCAATCCGTGGTGTGTGAGGGCGCGGGCGGCGGAGGGGCCGCTCCTCAGGCCGGGCTCCTGCTCCCCCCTGTAGCTGAGGGGGGCCCGGAGCGGATTTATGGCTCCCAAAGGGCAGGTTTCAGCCTTTGCCTCGCCCCCTCCGAGCTCCCTTCTCCTCCCGGGTGAGGTTCCTCAGCTGAGCTCCTTCCCCACCCAGGGAAGCAGCGCACCGGGGGCAGGACGGTGAGGAAGCAGGGTAGAAAACGCGTTCAATGCCCCGACTTGCTCTGCATGCGGTCCCGGCACGCGGAGTGTGCCCACCGCGAGCGGCGGCCCTGCCCCGGAGCCTCAACTGCAACTCGGCGGTGGAAACAGCCCCGGGGGAGCCGGGGGAGTAACGGAGGCAAAGGCAGGAGCCGTAAATGGGTGAGAGCCGGCGCTGTGCTGCGGCACGGACTGAGCCTCACAGAGAGCTGACCGTTGGCAACCACAGAACCCAGCCTGGGTTGGCTTGAAGGGACCTTAAAGCTCCTCCAGCTCCAACCCCTGCCACGGGCAGGGACCCCTTCCACTGGAGCAGCTTGCTCCAAGCCCCTGTGTCCAACCTGGCCTTGAACACTGCCAGGGATGGGGCAGCCACAGCTTCTCTGGGCACCCTGTGCCAGCGCCTCAGCACCCTCACAGTGCCTGTGGCTCGCGGGTGTCTGCCCGAGGCAGTGCTGGAGCCGGACCCTGCT